CAATGTTTTTCAAGCCTAGGGCACTGTTTGGGGATGATGGAGGCAGAGAGAAGGAGAGGGTAAGTGAAATGGAAGGGGTGGGAGAAAGGCTAAACCCAAGCTAGAAAATGAACATCACTTGGCTTAGGATTTCGACTGAGGGAAGAAATACAGCCATTGCATCAACATTTTGGATGTCAGGCATATGAAAATCACCCACATGATTTTTGTCATACCCTTTGTATTAGGATTCTCCAGAGAAACAGAATCCACATACATACAAAAGGAGATTCATTTTAAGGACGTGGCTCATGAGATTGTGGAGACTGGAAAGCCAGAAATCTGTAGGGTATGCTTGAAATTCAGAGGGGATTTCTATGTTGCAGCCTTCGAGGCAGAACTTCTTCTCCTGAAAACTTCAGTTTCTGCTTTTCAGACTTTTAAGTGATGGGGAACAGCCTACCCACATCATCGAATGTAATCTCCTTTACTATAGTAACCCAATTGGAAATGCCAACCACATCTACAGAATACCTTGACAGCAACATTAGACCAGTGCTTGACTAAATAGCTGGGCACCATAGCCTGACCAAGTGGACACACACAATTAGCCATCATGCCCTTTGGCCACCTGTACTATTATTTATGCATTCCTTCATTCACTGGATATTTATTGACTGCTCCTATATGCCAAGAGCTTTTCTCAATTTCGGGGGAACAGTGGTGAATAAGATAAAATCCCTGCCCTCCGGAGCCATGTTCTCATGCGACAGTCTAAGCTGGGGAGGACCAAGCCAGCCAGGAGGAGAAAGGACTGAGAGTACTGCTCTGGCTATTTGGAGGTTGAGAAGCCTTTAGACAACCATGCAAAGCTACCTTGTAGGCTGTTCTGTAGTCAGGTCCAGGAGAAGCTAAGGAAATGTGAATTACTCTAAATTTTTCACCCATAATGAAATCTGAGCATGAGTGTAATGTTAAGAAAAACATGCACAAACTCACCAAGTTAGTGACCTGGCTCTAGTTTTCCTAATAACTAAGAGCAATCACAGAGCTGTTTTGTTTTCTTCATAATGCTACTTGGTTTTCTTAAAACTAATTTTAGGAAGAAAGAGTATTGCTTGTTTTCCTCCATAAGAATGTAAGCACCAATAATCCAAAAATCTGGTGTTTTGTTCCCTACTATTTTCTCAGGATTGTTGTGCCCTCAGAACTTCAAAACAAGATGCTGTGACTGATAAGCACTGCACTGTAGGAAGGAAGGAGAGGGGTCATCAGCCAGAGCCAGACTGTCCCTCCCCACAACAGGTCTTTATCAGTGAAATAAGTGAGAGCAGTGAAATCTCAGGCTTCCCTGCAGAGTGAGCCCCTCCAAGCCTGTGAGCCCCAGGCTCCAGGAGACTTTGAGGAGAGACAATGAGAGAAGGATGCAGCAGGCAAGGAGAAGGTAGACTTCATGGTCACAAGAGAACAATTTCAAAAAGTCCATTGGGAAAAGATCTAATAACATGAATTTGAAGGAGGTCACAGTAGTTGTCCAGTAAAACAGTGAGAATCAAGAGGAGACAGGGGGAGTCATGGGGTTTGAACAGGAGAGTGTAAGATTAAGACGCTTTATTAGTTGAGATCTTTGTATTTCTAAAATGTAGGCCATAGTGTTCTATTGCTTACAGAGATTATTTATTCAGCCATGTCTACAACAGTGCCTGATCCATAGTAAGCACTCAGTAAACATTGAATAAATGAATGAATGAGCAATTAATATTTTAAATGTATATCCATGGTACATCCCAAATTACCTCTTCTAGCACACAAAATATGCCTCTCTCATAGGGAGTAGGGGAAAGATTAGCAGGCCTTTGGGGCTTCAGATCTAAAGACACATTCTCTGCTCCTCTTTATTAGTCATCTAAAGCTGCATTTTGATCATCTATTTGAAGGAGAAGAGACAGGCTTTATTTATTGTCACTACTGAAGCCTTGAAAATGATTATATTCACTTTCTCTAAATGTAGGTTCAATGCTGCTCTAAACTTAAAAAAGTAAAAGGAATCAATGATGCTGGTTTGAACAGTATATGGTTAATCTAATGTAGGCATTACCCCCAAATATTAGACAGGCTTACTTTCCCAATCACTGGGACCACTGAGAATCTGCAGGCCTTATGCCTCTGTTGCAGCAGGTTCAACATGAACTTCTCTAACTGGACTGCACCTTCTCTGTAAGCAGGTCAGGAGAGAAAAATCCAGAGGACATGGAGCTAAGCATGCCTGCCTCCTTCTCCCAAATACACTCATGAGATGGGTCAGTGGGGAGCAGTGAGAGAGGAGAAAGAGAGAAGAAACTGGAAAGGTTGATCCCTTAGCTTCTGTCCTAGGGACTGGAGTAGAAAGTCCCTTCCTTTATGGCAACATGAGGAGTGGGGAATGATTACCCAACTGAACAATGACTTCAGCATCAGCAACTCTGTAGAAAATCTATTCTTCTGTACCTGCCCGTGAAATCCAAGTGCTGACATTTTCATTTGCCTCATTTCCTTCTGTTTCAAGATTTTAAAAACACTGATGTCTGGATCATGCCCAACCGAGATGTTGATAACTCCTTATTAATTAGCAGTATTTGACCACTGCAGATGTGGAAGCAATCTACCACACAGCTCCTTGTTGCTTCTGAAGATGTGAAAAAAAAACAATGGCCACTTTTCCCCTGGATATTATTTTGGGAAAGCTGTGCCAGCTGGGATATAAGGAAATCTTGAGTGTTTTTATGTGATTACAGTGAAGGGAAAGCCACTCTACTTCAAAGGGCAGGGGTCAGGACAGAGCCAACCTGGAGCATACTGGTGTGAGCAGTGGCTCGCTACCACACATTCACTTTAACCAGCAGCAAAAAGCTTGAAGGGCAGGGGATGAAACCTCATGCCTCAGAAAAAATGCATGCGCACACCATCTCACACACACACACACACACACACACACACAGTATAGAATCCCAGTTTTTAGCATAATCCTAGACTGTGTAGGAGAAAATGCAGTAACAGTTACACGACACTTCTTAAATTTTCCTAATAAAGAACTCGGTAATGTTGATTTAACTCTATGCTAATAAAATCAGCTTTCATGGGTAGTTGCAGAATTGAATTCGTTCTTTCTACATATCAAACCACTTAAAGACATGATTTCTAGCTCAATGACAGAATATTTTGAGGGATTTCCACCAACTAATAAACATCTTGCACTGTGTTTGTGCATTTGAGTCTGCACCACTGTTAACCAAAATATCTTAAAAAATGCACCGCGTTTACCATGACTTCTATTTAATGAGAGGTATCTGTATGCTTCACTGGCTAATTCTAAATTCTAGCAACTTGTTTACTTAGAGTTCATAACAATATAACTTAACGATGCATATGATACAGATCAAGTGTTTCAGTTTTACAAGTTTGTTTTGTTTTTGTTTTTTGTTTTTTTAGTATGCTGTGTCCTCTGCCTGGAACATTCTCCATAGTCAAAGACTGTCAAAAGTTGAAAACAGACCCTTGAGATTACCTAGCGAGAACCTTTCATTTATAGATGAGGAAGCTGATTTAATAGCAAAGCCAGGATAAGAGCAATTTTCAACTCCTACTCCTTTGCATGCAAACATGCAAAGAGGATGGGAATTATATTTGAGACGAAGAGTATCCTGTATTTTAATTCCAAATTGAGTATTTCTTCTTTGTCTAATCTTAAACAATTTACTGAGGTTCTCTGAGCCTCCATTTCCCTATCTGCTGAAATGGGATAATATTATATATTTCATAGTGTTGTTATGAGAAAAGAACTGAGATAAACTACATAGGAGTCAATAAATAGTGGTTATTAACAACAAAAATTAATTATAACTCCCTGAAGAAAAAAGTCGGTAGAAGTACTAGTTATTATTAATTTTTGTTGTTGTTAATAACTACTAGTGAAGACACAAAAGTCAAACTATAACCAGGCATACCCTTCAGACCCATGAGTCACACTTCTAGAAGTTTAGCCTGAGGAAATAATTATGGATATACACAAAAATTTGGCCAAAAGACGTTCCTTGCAATCTTGTCTATATAATACCAGAAAAGTAAAACAAGCCTTAACATCTAACAACAAATTTGTGCAATTTTGGTTTATCCATAATGTTTAATAAGTGATGTGACAGAGAAATAATTATTAATATGGAGAGATGACTAGGCTATACTATTAACTAACAAAAGCAGGTGATAAAGCAAAATATACCTGCTGCTTGTAAGTATATATAAATAGGAAAAAGAGTGAAAGGTTAACAAGATGTTAAAAATAATGGACCATGAAAGTGAGATTATCAATTTTTACTTTATTTTTGTTTCCTGTTTGTTTCTAGTTTTAAATATTTCCATGTACCACTTTTGTAACTAGAAAAAAATGCCAAATGTATGTTTATGCATATATATACACAAACACACACACACACACACACAGATAGATAGATGATGGATTGATTAAATAGATTAAAGGTGGATAGAGGATAATTTCCAAGTACATACATACATATATGAATATGTATGGCATTTTTTTCTTATTACAAAAAATATTTATATGTACATATATAGAGAGATTCAATAAATGATAGTTATCAATAACAAAACTATATATTATATATAGTCTATACACACACAAAACACTACTACACACATACTAGTGTTTTTGAGTGGAGATAAATGATAGATGGATGGACAGTAGATTAGATGACAGATTAGATAGTAGATTTTAGAACATTAGGCAATTAGGTAAAATAGAGAATAGGTGATAGATAGGTGATGGGTTAGAAAGCTGTGAGAGAGGGTAGATTAGACAGTGATGGATTAAATAGATGATAGAGGTCATTTCCAAGTCTAGGAGGCAGGTAGAGCCAGATGTCTAGGGACACAGGGTTGAACCCGCCGCATGCAGGGGTCATCGCTTGCAGGTTAATGAAAACAAGTGGCTGCCCTGGCGGGGTGTCTGAGGTGTCCTCTCTCCTCAGGTCGACGCCCACGGCAACATTCTCCTCAGCACCCTGGAAATCAGGAATGAGACGAGCGGCTCGGAAGTGCTCACGGGCGTGAGCGACCCCAAGGCCACCATGTACTCGTACGACAGCGCCAGCATCCAGTACCGCAAGCCGCTGAGCAGCCGCGAGGCCTACGGGCGCGCGCTCGACCGGCACGGCGCGCACAGCAAGGGGCGCATCCGCCGGCGCGCCTCGCAGCTCAAAGTCAAAATCCCCGACCTGACTGACGTGAATTCCATAGACAAGTGGTCCCGAATGTTTTTCCCCATCACCTTTTCTCTTTTTAACGTCGTTTATTGGCTTTACTATGTACACTAAGGTCTGTCCTCGTGGCTCCTAAACTACTTTCCTCTTCTCTTGGTTTTTAACCCCACAGGTCCCCAGCAGCAATACTGCTGTGTTTTTCAAGGTAAGAGATTCAGCCATCCAACTGGTTTTAGGTCTCGCATATCAATTTTATTACTGCACCATGTTTACTTCCAAAAACAAACAACAAAAACAAAAACCTATTTTTTTCCAGTCTACTGTGGTCCAGGTTATCAGCTCTTTCAGAGCGCAATTAATTGTCATGTTTACAAACACACACACGAGAGAGAATTTAGATAGGTAGATCTTTAGCAGCCCTGCCTAGTCACCCTGGATTTTTTTTTTACTTGTTTTTCAAATGAGATTGAAAAGAGGACCTAGTTCTCTGTGTGCACGGCTTCCTGGTAAACTGTAACAACCTCATGCTGCCAAAAAAACCCAATTTCCAGGATCTCCGAAGAAAAAACAAAGCCATTGACAAGTTACAGATTTCCAGGAAGAAGGGAAAACAAAAAAGAAGCCTAGAAGAGGAAGGAAGACTCCCCTCCACCTTCAAGGTCCCCTAACTCCCTTGTAGGAGGAATCGGGGCTCCAAAGACAGGAGGGAGGGATTGGCAAGTGCCGACTAAGGTTATGCAAACCAAACCTGCCACCTTCCCTTCCCACTAAATTTGATTATTCTGAAAAGTGTTTCTTTCTCAGACTTCCAGGCAGATTTCAAATTAACATTAGAATCCAACCTGGTGTCCATTAGAAATGTTTTTCTTCTCCTGTTGGGAATAAGGAGTGTGGGAGACAATAACCTTTTTCTTTTTCACTGACTCTTTTAAATGAGCAGCCCTGGACTCATTACAACAGACTGGAGTCCCTTGACAGCTGTGCCATGAAACTATGCCATCACATTTCCCTAGTTCCTGCGCCAGAGAGAGTGAGAGAAAGGGGCACAGGGGAAGGAGGGCTTCAAAGAAGCGGGTGGTGAGCAAGTTTTGCTTTAGAAAAATATTGTCCTTTCTGAGAGGAAGATTTACGTGCTGTGGAAAGGGTGTTACCTGAACTGCCAAATCCTAAATCAAACAGTGTATATTTCCAGAGAGCAGTTCCAGCGTTGACCTGCCTATTACATGAGCCTCTGCTAGCGCCCTATGCTCTGCTCTCTGAGCTCTGCATTCCAAAATATGAAACGAAGGCATTGGGAAATGCACAAACACCCACGTTGGTGTCATTCTCCTCTGAGGCCAGATTTCTAAAGAAAACCAAAATAGCAAAACCAGTAATAGATAACAAGAATGACAAAATACCTAAGCCTTCAAACATTTATACCAGCCCCTAAAATACACTTACTCTTCTTAATCATGAACCTCTGTCATTACTGCTCTGCCTTACCTTCAGCCATGATTGCCACAGAAGGGCATCCCGCACAGCCCAACACACAACTCTGAACATCAGCGACAAGCTGCAACTGAGATTCATTCCATTTATGCCAGTAAGCCCTCATTATTTTCTTTTAGCCTAAATATCTAAGAATTCTATATGTTCATTTGCAAGGTTGAGTGAAACCTTGAAATGGCCAACAAGTGACAGAGGCAATTTAGGACCTGGTCCATGGATGTGAAATAAGGGCGGAGGTAATAATAGAGATGCTTGCTTCATTTGATGATCTGGCTTTCCCCCTAAAGTTATGATGAGGCTCTATGTTTACAATAGCATCAGCTGCTAGAAATTAGAATATTAGCTGGAAAGATAAGGCTGAATTCCTACCAATGAGTTCAAAGGGAGAAAGCTTTGAGATACTCGTTCAGAAAGTAAGAGGAAAAGAGACCTCCTCCCAAATAAATGAATGGTTAGGTCTATAGTAATACAGATTAATAAGAATATAAAAACTCTGCATTAACTAAACAAATCATCTCAGTGGTTTCATAAGCAATTAGTAGGGTATGGAGACCAAATTTTCATTTAGGTTTTCAGTTATATAATCATAGTTCCCTAGCCAAGGAAACTTCTAGCCTGTAGGAATGAAGTGATCCATTTGCAAAACTGATTAGTTCCATGGCAAGGAAAGACGCTTTGCCATTGGAAAATGCCCAGAAAGAGTAGAATGTGACCAAAACAGACATTATAAAGATTAACATCCCCAGTGACCACCCAGGAACCAGTGTGTAGCATTTATTTTAAACACAGGAAGGGAGGCTTATGGCTGATGCCTAGCAGGAATGACTCATTCTAAGTGTCAAAGTTATTTGAAACACTTTTAAGGATGAAATGCTAAATCAGAGAGGAAGTATCTGTAATGTATGCTCCTTAGCAAAACAATTTTTATATGTTTAGATCATTCTTCTTGGAAAAGATTGAAGTAATTTCTATCTTTATTATTATTTTTATCTTGCCTTAAAAGTCTAACAAATTTGATGCCTGTAGTTTAGATGTAAAGCGTCTCTGGGGAAAAAAAAAAGGAACATTTTGAATTCTTATATCTTAACCTTTGTAAAATTAGTAAACCTGAATCTACTGTCAGGCACGAAATGGTAACATTGTATGCCCTCCTGGACTGTAGAGAGGTCACAGCCATCATTATGCAAAGCCTGTTACATAGTTCTCATTTCAGAGTCAACAGTAGCCAGAGAATTGGAGAAGCTGCCATATCCTGGTCAATGACCAAGCCTCCACTTCCTTCTGGATACCTCCTCGCTAAATCCTCCCTTCCTTAGCCCCTGCTCACTCTCCTTCCCGGCTTAACAGTGCCATGGAAGAAAATACTTCCTCCTCTGCCTTTCTCCCTTGTCTTGCCCAAAATGATGTACATAAAACATAAAAGTTGTTAGACATTCTTAAGTGCCCTCAAACTGGTCCCCATTCCTAAAAAGATTCAGATCAATACATTATGGAGGTGTTACTATTTGGTAGTTTTTATTTTCTTGCCATGAAAATAGCCATAAACTCCTGTATTACTGAAGTGGCAGCAGAGGCTGAAAATTGCACAGACTCACTCTCTTATGCCACAGTCATGTCCAGGGGACTGAAGTTCACGGTTTGTAAACTGTGACATGAACTGTGTCATAGATGCAACAGAAATCCCATCTTTCATTGGACAGTGATGACTACACACTCATTCCTTCCACTCATATTCCCTGGCTTTAAAGATTAGGGGTGAACATGCATTACATTTACCAGCTTTGTGAGGCAAAGACCCAGGTAAAGACATATTTTTGGCTTCAATTATTCAGGATTATTGCCTCAATCTTCACATTGTCAAATAGAAACAGACTGGTTGGTAATTCTGCTGACTAAATATGTGTTTTCCTATATACCATCTTTTTTGTGCATTATAATTAATGAAGGATCTTGGAAATGCAAAGAGAAAAATGTGGTGCAGGGAATAAAGTTTGGTTTATGGATCCAACGATAGGCTTTCTTTAAACAAACTTCAGGTACAATAATTAGAAATGTTGACTGAATTCCACCTTTCTAAAATCAATGACTACTTTATAAATATTCATTTAAGAATCAGCTTAATTAAAATTTGCCAACTTGAACAACAACAACAAAAAGATATATTTATAATGCTAGAAGGAAATGTTCTCCAAGATTTCTTATATGGACAATTTTGAACAGTATCTTAACCAAAGGGTGATGTGCCGCAATTTTTTTTCCTAAACAAAGTGCGATCATATATCCCAGGAGGGAGGAAAAAGGAACGTGTAAGCATTTGTTCATGTTGGTTTGATCAACAGTTACTGGGATGAGGACAGGAAAACAAACAAAGCTATCTCAGTTTCTTGAAAGCAAATGGTAAACACAAAGATAATCTTGTTAACAGAATGTAGAGTATTATGTAAACTTCTTTGTAAATTCTGTATATAGTTCATTGAACTGTTCCCTGTGTGCGGTGGTCCTCAGCCTTGGGTGAATGTTTGAAAAATCCAAGCATTGTAAATAATGTCAGCTTATAAGGCACTTGCTTTTATTCATGAAGCAAAATGACTAGTGATTTGGCCCCAAACCAGAATCCTTTTTAGCACTAGCTCTTTCTCTGCCATTTTGTGTGTGCAGTTGTGTACACTCTGCCGGAGGTCTGTGATCACTGCCTTGTGCCCCAGCCTCACTGAAAGGGACAGCGGCTGCCCAGAGGGCATGGGGCTCAGGAATAGTGCACCAGCAGAGACAGGCACTGTAGGGGGCGGCTCCTGGAACTGTGTCAAGAAAAACAGACATGCTTGTGTATCAGTTATTCGTGGCTATTCTTCTATTTGGATACCAGACTGTCCATGCTGTTGAGGGGTCAGGAATAGAAGAGATGATCAAAATCCATAGGTAGTCCAAAGCTTTATTTGCACTGACAGCTTTCACATCTAACTCTTATCCTACCATAGTGTTTCCCAGAATTTCTAATAAGAATAGATGTGGACAGAAGAGTTTGATCAGGGTAAACAGTCAAATGTCCAAATGGTGGGAAGGAGAAAAGGAAGAGGGAGCAAATGACACTGATAATATCAACTGGCTGATTCACCCCAGAAAGATACAGTGGTAACCATGTCACTATTTTTAAAAGGTGAAGAGAAATACTGAGAATTAAAACAAGTAGGGGCCCAGGATAGGTGTGATATATGCTTGTTAAGCTTAAAAGACTCTGGTAATTAAATATTCTCAAATATATTTCTCCCAATGTCTGGTATTCTTGAAAAAGTCTTCAAAGCGGTGGGATATTATGCCACAAGATGTGTTTCCATGCCAACATCACAGAGGGTGATGGTAGCTACAGAAATTCAGAATATCCAAGCAAGTAGGGGCATTAATTAGTTTCTTAGTAACATTTTAGAGTGCACAATGTCTTTCTTGCAGGTAAGAACTTAGCAAGGCAGGGATTTTTGTGTCAACATTTTAAGTGCCAGGTGAGCGTGGGGAGCCATACTGTGAGACACTTTGGTTCCAAAATGTGCAAATGAGGGCCCACCATCCATCAACAGGAAAGATGTCCTGTTGAGACTCATGAGGTAGTCCCTCAATTTCTAGGTTTCCAGAATGCATTGCACTTTTCTACTTTAATCATCCTCTTTCTGTATAATGAAATCAACTAACCTGTCAGAAACTTAATTGTCAGAGGTTGCAATTCCAGAAACAAACATTTGAAAGGAAATCCTTTTTAACAGAATTGCAAACCAGAAAATAGTAAGTTCCTGGAAGGGTAAGGGCCAAGAATTTTGAGCTTATTTTTACTTCTAACATAGCAAGTATTTCCTTTTTTGAACGTAAGAGGTCTAACAGTTGTTTGCTTTGTGTTGTTTTTGCTAATTAAAAAGTCCTTAGTACGTCAAGGGGCTCACAACTATTCCTGACTGGCCCCTAGATACCCTGCATGTCCTGGAGTAACCAGCCCTCATCACAAAGGCTTCAATAGGAATTCAGTGGGGGAGAAGTAGGTGTATGTCTAGACCCTTTGGGAAAGAAAAACATTCTCATGAATGACTCGACATGTATTTCCTGTCCCACAGACAATAGAAAAACAAATCGGTAAAAGGAGGCCAAATAGTATTATGCCTTTGCCTTAGGTACACAGGGTCACAGACTCACTTGCTTAAAACAGCCCCAAATTGGAAGCAAAGATGAATAGGAGCAATCAGTATTGTTTATCTGGCTTCCACTGCCCCCTGGGCTTCCTTTTGAGGAGAAACAGGTAAGGGGGGTCATTTTCCAATAGAATGTTTTATAAGGGAAATTTAAATATATGTGTGTGTGCATTTTACACATTTGGCTGTGTAAAATAGATTACCTCTTTTGTACTCGTTCTTGCCCAGTACCGTATGCCATCCAGCCTCATGCCTTAACTTGATGAAGTCATTTATTTTTCCTCTTTCTCATTCCAAACTTCATAAATGGTTGTCTTCTCCATGAATAGCTGAAAGTGTCAGCTTCTTTGGACTTACATTGCATATCTTGAATTGAAAAACAATGAATTTTCATGATTTTCCCAAATTCCTGCTTCTATTTCCCTTCAAAGGTCTTTGGAGGTAGCTTGTGTCATCACTGCAGCCTCCTCTGAAATGCCTTGATTTCTTTTTCTTGTCAGCTTCTCTGTTCTTTATGGAAAGAGGACATAGGTTTACATAATCCCCTCTCCCAGCCCAATTCAAAAAGAGGTGGAAATAAAAACCATCAGCTCAAATGTAGGAAAATGTACATTATCTACACCAAAGTTTGATGATAAGACCATCTTCTTACATTACAGTTGTAATATGGTGAATCTACACTGTCTCAGTTCTTTCTCATCAAACTCAGTAATTCATGCCCTCCTCCAGTCTTAATTGTACACCATTTAAAACCTATTATTATTCCTCTCAGAATGGCTTATCATTCACATAGCACACTACAGTCACAAACTATTCTCAAGGAACTTGACCCACTTCATCCTTTCTGTATCTTACTGCGATTACAGATTCCCTCTTCGATGCCTCACCCGTCCTCCTCCTCTTCATCCTTCTAGCAGATGGTAAATGTAGTTAGTAATTGGATAGGTCAAAAGGCAAACTGTTTAAATTGCCCCCATAAGATATTCAGAACGTCTTTTTCCTCTAGACAGTTTTTGTAAACTTAGAAACCAGAGGCTTCTCTAAACATGTACCAAGCAATGTGCAGCCTAAACCTTTTAAAATTAATAAATGAGCTGTATGGCGGCAGGGAGGAAGATCATAGTGGATGGAAGACAGCTTGGGATTGGGATTGCATGACCTGGCCTTCCTGCCAGCTCTACCACTGCCCAGTTGTGTCATTTCAGACATGCCACCAGGTGACTGCCAAGTTCTCTCCCTAAACTAAATTTCAAAATGAATTTTAGAGAGTTTCATCTGTATAAGAGGTTACCAGAAAGATACAGGAGCACTGTGGCCTCTGCTAAAATATCCCCACAGATTTGGCAATATTCCCTGTTGCCTGTCTTTGGGAGTAAGCCATCGGGGTAAGCCACCTGGCATCAAGTAAATCAAAGTCAATACTTGTTCATATTCCATTAAAAAACATAGAGAACAATTCAATTTGTAGGCAAGTGGTAAAAAAATTGTTTTACAATTTTAGGAAGGCCTATGCTTCCATGTTTCCCCTTAATAGTGCTGGAGAGTCTCAGGTAACATAAATCCCAAGGTCTCTACCCAGATCTCTGGAAGAAGTCACTCCTTTAGACCTTTCTCTGAAATTCGGTCAGGAAACGCTATGAAATGCCCGATGAGTGGAAAAGCCAACTTCCAGGCAGAGGGCCGATGCAGTGCCCTTCGATGTCCCTCCCCAGTCTTGGACCCCATCACTGTCTTGTGCTCCGTAAGTGGAGTAAGCAGATCAGATACGGCTGAGTTCTCAGGCAGGAGGCTACCTCCCATCTAGTTGGAAAAGATTCCAAGGCTTTAGGACCTCTGTTATTGGCTCTCCCAGCCCAAATTTCCCCAACCTCCTTCCATCCCCCACCTAACTCGTTAAATCTGCCATGTGTGTTAGGCACAGCCACGTTAAAACTGAAGTTAACTTACTCATGGTGATTAGCGCTTCTAGCTGGTCACATTGCTAAAGCATGCATTCTGCCCCTTCCAGTCTCTCAATATGATCCCCGGTGTGATTCCTTCACACACAGTCTTGTTTTCCTTTCTCAAAAGATACCTTCCAACTCCAAACTTTCATGATTCTCCAGGGCTATTCAGAATTGTTAGGAGAGTGCCTAGAAATTCCTCCCTTCCATTGTAAGCCTGCCTATGAAAGAGACAGCCTCTTTTTTTTTAAATTTAGCCTAATATTCTGCCCCTCAACCTCACACACCCTATAAAATCTATTGTGTCAAACTCTCTGCGCAAATGTACTTCAACACTCCTAGTAAACTAGTGAGCTAAGTTTGCTTTTTCAGGTTTCCCATACTTCTTACTTTGAGATGGTTTCATATTTAATGCCATCTTTTCAAAAACAGGGGAAACACTGCTAAGTCTTCAAATTCTCACCAAGTTGAGATAATACTTCCTATATCAATGAGGATTCACTCAAGTGCAAGTAACAAAAGATACAACTGTTACGTAATGAGCAAAACGTTATCTCATGTAGCAATGAATTCAGAAGTAGGGGAGGTTACCAGGTTATTTCAATAGCACAATGATGTCATCCAGAATCCAGGTCCTTTCCCTAATCAGTCCTTCCTAACTCTGTGTGCTACCACACAAGTCACGGTTGCAAAATGGCTATAATTAGGCACTCATATCAAGTTCAGAAACAAGGGAAAGTCCTGCCCTGGGTCTCTTTTTTAGAAGCAAGGAAATCTTCCCAAAAACCTCCCCCAGCAGTTTTTCTCTTGTGCCCCATTAGCAGAGTTGGATTACACATCCATTCCTGAACCTGTCACTGATGAGAGAAACGAAATTATCAAGATTGGCCTACAACATTGACCCCTGGGGAGAAAAGGGAGGAGGGGGGCTATGTTAACAAAAAGAGGGGATAATGGCTTTTGTGACAGTGACTGTCACACACTGTTCTAAGGAACCAGAAAACACTTTCCCACACATAACTTCATGACTTGCTCTTCACTACAACCTATGTAGTTCTGATGACAATACTGATATATGGAAACAGAAGCTCAAATAGGTAAAATGATTTTCCCAGATCTGATCACAAGTCAAGGACTGAGTGAATGCTCAATCTGAGCTTTCCTCAGCTCCAAAGGCAGATCTTTGGAGTGTACTCTACTACACTGCCCAACCTCCTCCTTTTTACCTTGACAGTCCAGGTTTCAGGTAGTTCAGAGATGAATGGACAGTGGGAGGAGAGAACAATTTTCACTCCTAACAGCTAGATACTATGCCCAGTAAACACTCTTCTCTTTATCCTTCTCTTCCACCCTCCCTACCTCCCCTATACAAAAACCCTTCATTCTTCTCTTGAGGGGAAGTATAGAAATAGCTTGCAGAACAACTGAATAGCCTGAAGCGTGCTCCAGTTCTTTTTGGATAACATTACTGTTAGGGGACCATAGGCCCCAGTTCACCTGAGCCAGTCCCAGTGTGTGATTAATTATCACCAGAACCACCTTTCACTCTCAAAATTGTTCATGTAGATAACAAATATATAAATCACACTAATTTTGTAGTCTTGTAATTCCCATACCTGTAGAG